TTAAAGGGACCAGTATTGAAAACTAGAGAGGGAGCTAGGGCCCAACTAGTCTGTGTATCTCCTGGAGGGAAGCCAGCAGCTGATGTAAGAATTTTAAAACATTTTTATAGAATTAACTTTTTTTCACTTTTCGGTTTAATTATATTTCACATTGAGGTTGTTTAAATAACTTGAAATCTGCAAATAAAAAATTGAGAAATTCCACAAACTTTACTGTGAAATAACTATATATGTTACATCACAATGCCCAAGCTACTATACTAGAAATGCGTCACATCAAAACGCCGAAGTCTATTTTGAGAATTTTTCTAAATTGTGACCGTTTTGAGGTTCAGCCGACGCTTTTCAACATTTGTTATTACTGTCGATTTTTTGTTAAACGAAACGGGTTTAATTATCAAAATTTATCTTTTCCGGCTAATTTGTATTTGATTCTGTACTACAACTTTTAAGGACAGTTCTTGTTTTTCTAAACAATTTTTAAACAAAAATTAGAGAACAAAATTGGCTTGACTCAAATTCCTCCTATCCTACTCTAAAATGCATAACCTTGTGTGTAATCAAATTTTTGCTTTTAAAATTGTTCTTTAGCTGTCCTACGTGACAGTAAATATGAATAAATCCTACCCACCTCTCCTTATTTATACTTTCATTAGAATACATTTAGATACTATGGTATGATGGATTTGGAAACATGATTAACGAAAATATCGAGATGCACACTACAAGGGAGTTTGTGCTCAAAAATATTTTATTTTATAACTTTTTTTATTCTATACTCTGTATTCTGTATTCTGAAATTTGAAATATGTGTCCTGTATTCTGAAATCTGAAATCTGAAATCTCTTTTCTGTAGAGTTAAATCTGAAACTATATATAATAATATTTATTCTTTATTCTTTGTTTTGTTCTGTATTATATTCTGAGTTCTGTATTATATTCTGTGTTCTGTATTATATTTTGTGTTCTGTTTTATATTCTGTGTTCTGTATTACATTCTGTGTTCTTTATTCTGTATTCTGTTTTATATTCTGTGTTCTGTATTATATTCTTTGTTCTTCTTAATATTCTGTTTTCTGTATTTTATTCTGTTTTCTGAATTATATTCAGTGTTCTGTGTTCTGCATTAAATTCTGTGTTCTGTATTATATTCTATGTTCTGTATTATATTCTGTGTTCTGTATAATATTCTGTGTTCTGTATAATATATTCTTTGTTCTGTATAATATTCTGTGTTCTGTATTATATTCTGTGTTCTGTGTTCTGTATAATATTCTGTGTTCTGTATAATATTCTGTGTTCTGTATAACATTCTGTGTTCTGTATAATATTCTGTGTTCTGTATTATATTCTTTGTTCTGTATAATATTCTGTGTTCTGTATAATATTCTGTGTTCTGTATTATATTCTTTGTTCTGTATTATATTCTGTGTTCTGTGTTTTGACACCAAACAAAAAACAGATTGGATGACGATAAAAGATTTAATACGACCTCAGTTCTTACTTTTACACCAAGGAAACATTTTTATCTCAATTTTTTTTAAAGTATGAAAAATCTTTTCTGCCAAATACTAAACTTGAAAAATATTTATTTATTTTATTTCTAAATCTTTATAAAGCTTCTAGAATGTACGATCTAAATACCAATAATCTGATAACAAATATATTAAATACTATCAAAAAAATGTTCATAAGTCCTAATTGTATCAAATATTATTTTACCAGATAATTAATAGATCTGTAATTTATTCATCATAAAAGGATAAGACTTCAGAGACGACTGTTCGGGATTTATTATGTTTTTTTTTAAAATCATTCAAAAACTTTTTAGAACTATATATAACAAAATGGACCAAGCTTAACCTTCAGTTTGTCGAATCTAAAGAGTTTTTAGTCGTCATTGAAGTCTCATCCTTTGTTTATCTATTCCTATCATTTTAATCAAATTTTCTTTAAATATTTTCTGAGTTTTCGAAAAGTTTTGTTATTTTTCTTTATCATTCTCCAGCTATTTTGCCGGATCATGTTCAATTGAATTAAATGAATATTTAACTATACGTACGCTGAAACTCTATAGAAGGCGCCATTATATCTTTTAATTAAAATTAGGAATTTTAAGCCCAATCAAAATATTTTTGGTTTTGGTAATGAAATTTCAAAAATATTTATCTCTTTCTCTGTTTTCGAATCGTGAACTTAAATTTTTGTATTTCTAGAATTTGTTTTGTACAGTTTTTTCATTTCTATTTTTTTGAAAAAATTAACATTTGCAATTTAGGAAAAATAACACTTAATTTTTTAATTTGTTTGGCGTAAAAAAAACAAAGTTTGGTATTTAGAATTTAATTTTTTTTTTGAAATTTAGTAAATTTTTTTCTTTTTAAATTGAAAATGTTTAACAATTTAGTAAAGAGAATCATAATCAAACCTTTACTTGCTCCGCTTCAAATGTTGCAGACAGGTCCTTTCTATTTATATACTTTGCTTGTTTGTCTGTCTATCTGTTAGTCTGTTTGTATCCAATAAACGTCAAAACAGCTTATCCGATCGGGCACAAATTTGTATGGGACCTCGCATGAGTCAGGGAAGGTTTATGGATGCTTAAAATTTTAAAAGTTTGTGTCCAAAAGCTTTTGTAAAATAAAAAAAATGTTAAAAAAAATTATTGAAATCTTCGAAAAAATAGAGGGTGTCCACGAAGCCCCCTAAAAGCCTAATAGGTAAAATAAGTTCTTAGAGTTGGCATCCTGGGTCATCTGTAAGTATGAAAACCTTTATCAGCAAAAAAACGAATACACGATTTGATTTAGCCAAAAACATTGTCTCATGGCATGAAAGTGGTTGAAAAGGGCAATATTGTTAAAGAAGGAAAATTCAGCATTTTTTGGTCTGATCGTTTCATGGAAGGAGGG